TTTGATGTTCCCTGGCTGGTAGAGAAATCTAGGTAATAGAGATAGGCTCTGCTGGCGATGCCAGCCTTTGCTGTTTACGTCCCAAGATACAGCTCAGCAGGAAAGCCTCTTTGGGGAAGGCAGACTTGACTAAAACAAGGCACATTGGGAAGACGTGGACTTCTCCTTGAAATCCCCCTCCCCGTTTAGCGAATGCTTCCTGTTTGTATCTCCTCAGTACCCAGCACAGTGTGCAGGGGACCAGAGACTGGGGCCCTTGTAATCTAGTTCAAAGGGAAGAGAAGCTGTCTTTGAATTCTCCTTATTCAATAGGGGCTTTTATGAATGTGATAATAATGATAGTTGTCGTGTGAGCCTCTGTGCCTTAAAGAACCCTTCCTGTCGTAGAGTCTCTGTAAAGTGTATTGACATCTTGACCTTTTTGTTTATTCATTCGGTGATGGGTTTGGGAATTTTATTTTATTTCATGATTTTTTTTTAACTTTCAAATTTTCTTCCCTAAGTTTTTATTATTCTCTTCACGTAAAGAGCAAATGGCTTCTACTAGTCCATCCTCAAACCAACTAAGATAGAAATTATTCAAATAGAACTTAGGCTCTACAAGGAAACCAAAAGTATTTTTAAATGTTTTTGAATTTTAATTGGCACATAAAAATTGAATGTATTTATGAGTTATGGTATAATATTCCAATGCACGGATTCAACACATAATGATCAGATCAGCAGAATTGGTACATCCATCACCTTAAACAGAGCATTCCAAATCCTCTCTGCTGGCTGTGTTGAAATGCATGTACCCTGAAGCCATTGTCAGCCTCAGTTACCACAGTTACCGACCGCGCTCCTGAGCACTAGAAGCCCTTGCTGCTGTCCAGCTGCACGGCACCCAGGACCCTTGCGGCCACCTGCACATCCCATACATCACATTCCCTCTCAGGTTAAGGACGCCTGACCACAGTCCTGTCAAAAAGCCTTGTGTCCAAATTGGTAACTCTAGAAGCGTGAAATTCTCTTCCTTTCCAAAAAGATTTGAAGCATTACCTTCTGGATAGGCAAATACATGTTTTTAAATTCTATACAATTTTGAAATTGGATAATAAACCAGGTACTGTTTTTTTTTTTAATTGATGGTTATTAGCAGAGTTGTACCTTCAAAGCCAGCACAGAATCTGCTGGTATGTGTTGGAAGCAGTCACTATTTGGGATGAGAAAAACAAGCCTCAGAGTTTGTTCCATGATCTGTTTTCCACATCCTCTAAGCACCTCCATTGTTCTGCTGCCAGCCTGAGCCCACCAGTACTTCATGGCAGAGAGTTTGAGGAGTAGCTGGCAGGCTCTCCTACAAGCACTGTTCTTAGCACTTGCTGTGTGTGTTTCCATGAGAAAATCTCATAGATTGGTTATAACCTACTTGATCCTTAGCTTGATGAACTCTAAATATATGCGTAAAATCCTACATTGCCACAAACAAGACAATTAATTAGAGGAGATTTAACACTAGAAACATATTCTCTCGTCTTTTTCCTGTTTAACTGTGTATGAATTACAAAGTATAATCTGAATCTTGAAGTGATACATGGGAAAAATCAAGAATGGCTACATTTGTTCCTTTTATTTATTAAAAAGTAATGAATAGATATGTTGCACAAAATTGCAGAACACTTATCTAATTGTTAAGCCTGGGAGTGAAACCATGCCAGGAAGGGGTATTTTCACTAATTATCAGATTCTTTCTACTATCCTTCTTACCCCCATACTTTTCTCTCCCTTCACTCCCTCCTGTCTAATCCAAAGTAACTCTCTTCTTCCCTAGCCCCACCCCCTCCTTATTATGAATTAACATCTACATATCAGACAAAAAAATTCAGCCTTAGTTTTGTTTTTGTTTTTTTTAGGATTGGCTTATTTTGCTTATCATGATATTCTCCAGCTCCATCCATTTATAGGCAAATGCCATAATTTCGTTCTTCTTTAATATTCCAAGAATTTTCAGTTATATGTCCTCAAGATAGAGTGATTATCAAACACAGTTGGCACAAGGTTTACAAATGCAGTTCTGTGTTCTATGGGACGAAATAGCTATTCGTTTGGTCAGCCTTTTGAACATGATAAAGATTTAGTCACCACTTGCCTTTACTCAATGAACCAGTAGAAACGTTAAGACAGAAGCATTGTATATCTAAATGTATAAATGATGTATTTCTATTTTGGTAAGAGTTGCATATCCCACAATTTCTCAAGGATCCTCACCAAGAGAAATAATCACATTAAAAGTTTTCATCTGTTTTTATCTACTTCAAAGTGTGACCCCAGCTACACCACTGCTCTGTTGCCTGGTTGATATCGGTTAGCTAGACAAAATGATGTCAAATATGTTAACATATCCCTTGAAAAAAGTCCAGTCATTCATTAATGAAAATCTCTTCTTTAATGGATACTGATACATTTGCCCCTATTAACTCAAGGAAAGTTTGAATAAAGGCCAGTTACATCAACTGGCTTTGAAATAGTTCTTTTTCTTTGGTGTTAACCTGCCAGGGGGCCATCAATGTTCTGAAATAGCCAAGAATCCCCTTTGAACTCTATCTCTAGTTGCTATCAAAGATTATCTATATTCACATCCATTGTGCTTTTATTTCCTTCAGAGTTTCTCTGTAGCCATTAAGAAATGATTGTAATAAAAGGTATTTAAGAGCTACATAGATGACATGTCAGAGCAGAAGAAAATTGTCTACTGCTATAACTATTAATCCTGCTTTATCGTGGAGAAGCTGGAAAAGTGGAACAAGAGAAGAGCCAGCAAAAGATAATGCCGCTGCTTTCCCTCTTTTTACACTTCCCTCTTCTACACTTCGGCTGTCACATTTGTGATGAGCCTGCAGACGCTACTTCCCTATGCCCCCTGCTCGCCTGTCAGCTCTTCTGGAAGAGGGAAATCTCATCCTTGTTGAGTTGACATTTCGTATTCTTATTTTTCTAGATCTTATTAGGTCTTTAAATGATAATGTTATCTAAAATGTTTAAGGGGATGATAAAGTAGAAAATAGAACAAACAAAATAGCCAAGGAAATATTTTTCTGTTTCTTGTTACATTAGTAGCTAGACTTGCTGCTGTAACTGGCTTCCTTTGAGAAGCCAGTGTTACTACGGCTTCATCATCCAAGTTGACACACTTGCAAAATGACTTGTGTCTTTACCTAGTGTCCTTTCTGTCCAACGCAAAGAGCAGGTCTCAAATAGGAACCAGGAGCAGTATGACAAGGGCAGTTCACTTTCAGTGTTTTTGTTAATACTTGGAAGAGGTGTGCAGGCTTCATGAATAGTCATCTAAAGGCTTCATGCAAAGTCATCTCTGAATGGTTTTGATTAAAAAACCCAAGATGCTTTATGTGCTGAGCCTCCTTTTTATGAAGTTGAAACTGAGTGACAAACTCATTGAAAATGACCTTTAGTGGGATGTCCAACATTCATCAATTGACATCATTTAGCTCTGACTTAAGCTAAGCTGTATGATAATGGAGAGGAAAAGGTCATGAATTTTGAATTTGTCTCTTGGAAAATAAGTAATAAAATTCTGGAAATTATTTGTGACAGCTAAATAACTTTATAGTATCTCTATCAACATTTCCATTTTTATGTTGCAAGGACATGAAGCAAATGTCTATTCTCTTCCAGTAAAAATTTCAAGACTAAGGAACTTAACCCATATTCTGGAATAGAGTTTTGTTTTCACATTTATTTACATCTACACACCTACATACAGATGGATGTATATAAAATGCCTGTGAGGAAGCTTAGTGTGTGTCATTTATGTTATATTGATTTTAAATACATTAATGGATACAAATGGGCTAAACAGATTGGTACCCCACTCTAAAATTATAAAGGAATAGCTTTGTTTTACTGTGGTTTTTCTCAGAAGTATGAAAATATTTTCCCCAAATATATGCATATTTCACTTCTGTCCTCTTTATAATCATTGCCTTTGTTTTTCACAAAAGTCAAAGATTTCATGTAATCAAAGGTCAGAATCATTATTTCAATTTTTAATATTTTTAAAAGTCATAGTGAAGATAGAAGATTTGAAGTGTAGACAAAAATTAAAGACAAATATTTTATCAAAGCATCTTTTATAATTGTTACATGTTTTTATGATGCATGTTGCTTAGGGAAAAGCAACATCTCCCATTGTGCTTTGAATCTTATTTGTTCATTTAACTTTTATTGTTATCATTTGTCCAAGTTGCTATAATCTTTATAACTCTCATTTCTAGTGGTGGACTGGTATTTCTTTGTGCATATAAGCCATAATTTTAAAATTATGTGTAATTAATTTTTAATTACACGCTCTCCCATTATTCATTATGTTTAATTCAAAGCAAATTTAACTATCGGGATTTCTGTAAGATCCAGATTTTGCCTATAGCTCATGTCAGTGCATCTAATAAACCATAGCAATTTTCTCTCTTTCATCCATTCTGTCATTTGTTTGTTAGATGCAATATGGTACCACAAATCAAGCAAATATGTATTTACAAATTATATAAGAATTGACCACAGTTATGCATGAGTTATGCATAAATTATTATAATTCTGCATTTGTGCAGGCTTTCCATTGTTGAGAACTTCCTATGCAACAGTTGATACATGTAAATATAATATGTGCTACCTTGATCTTTAGGCTTCTTCCACCCATCCAAAACCGCCCCATCTCTGCTTGTTCTTTCCTGTGTAAGTTGTGTCAGAATAGTTCTCAGAGAGCTAATGCTGGACGGCTACCAGTTGCAGTCACCTCTATACATGTCCCAACCCCCCACAAACTCCATCGTAAGCTCTCTGTGGCAGGAATGGCTCTCCTAATCCCTGAACAGTTGACCCTCCCTGTCGCCAGTATTCACTGGATTCTATAACACCTGCTTTTGTTTTCGTTTGTGATGTTTGAGGATGGAAATATGAGGAAGTTGTTAAAGACATTTACTCTCTCGTTTTTCTTCCACCAGTGGGATGGAGTAGGACCTCTTCCAGACTGTGCAGAACCACCCAAAGGGATCCAGATGCTGTGGCACCCCTCCATAGTCAAACCCTACCTCACACTGCTCTCTGAGTGCTCAAACCCAGACACGCTGGAAGGGGCGGCAGGTGCCCTGCAGAACTTGGCCGCAGGGAGCTGGAAGGTATGGCTAGTTCGTTACAATACAAAAGACTCTGGAGTTGCAGCAAGTCTTGAGAAAATAATGCCAGTGTAGTTCCAAGAGGTGCAATTCTAACAAAGATGTTTAGGAGAAAAACCAATTATATTGAGTTGTTGGGCTTAGAAAGTTGAAAAAAAAAAACTTTAAAAAAATGAAATTCTTCTTAAGGTTTCAGAGGTCTTTGAAGACCACTGGTGAATAATATGATTGAAAAGGCTGTGAAATTCTTGCGATTCTATGGGGACAGCTGAGCTGCTTGACTTTCAGGGACAATTGTGACATGTGGATGTTTTCAAAGCACCATCATTGGCTGTTAAGGGAGCTAATCTGCAAACACTCATATGAGTATTCTAGATGTTGTACTGGGTCCCAGCCCCCAAAGAAGACCCCTTGCATTTTTAAATCATGAGCTTACAGAGGAGAACAGTATTGTTAATTCCGTTTGGCAAAAACATTTAAACAAATGTATGATTTTGATGAAATTAAGAGGGTCCTTTCTCCAAGTCCTTATGAACTGACACTATTCCTGCTTGATTTTCACAGAAAATTCTCAAGATCCTGATTTTTGGTAGGAAAAGATTCACCAGGGAAAATAATTCTTGACTGTGGTCATCATAGTTACAAGCACCAATTTGCCTTGTTGCATTAAAATATAAAAATGTGTGACCACTCTTAGAGAAATGAAGATAGAATGTATGGGGAAACGCCAAGAGAAAAAACATCCAAAAAAACGTTTTGATTTTGCCATCATGTTCCGTCCATTTAATATCAAAGTCAGGATTTGGGAGGTTCATAAATCACTCTTTTCTTTGACATTCATTCTCTTCAAAGTGATGTTAACGCTGACACAGAGCTACAGAATTTTCAGAAGCTCAGAGGCATAGATGTCACTCTTCCTGGCCTCAGATCATCATGTGACTGCACGGTCCCTTGTGCTCATACGGTCCAGTGTCAGCCTTCTTGTCACTTCTCTCTCTCTCTCTCTCTCTCTCTCTCTTTCTCTCTCTCTCTCTCTCCCCCCCCCCTCATTTCCATGACTCCAGTCCCAGCCCCAGCTCTTCCTTCCAGCTGTGATGACGTCACAGCTCCTGGGCCTGGTCCCTGAGTGTGCCTGGGGAGCTGCTTGCTGCTGGGTGGACAGGCTCAAGCTTCCTTGAGAGCCTGAGGAATGAACATGATCGTCCCTTTCCCTCCCTGCCTGTAAAACATCCCTGGTGTTTCTACCTACAGAATCCAGGTCAGGCCAGGCTGCAAGATGTCTCCTACTTTCAACCAGAGATAGGTGCAGACAAGTTTCCAAAGCAGAGTCCCACCAGGCAAAAGGCCAGAGTGTGGCCTTATAGGACTAGGAAGGTCATTCATGGAAATCGCTTCTTTGAAGTGGCCCTCACATCTCATGTCCCTGTAAGCTTAACATAGTCCAGTAATTTTTTATTCAAACCACAGTTCAAACGCAGGACCTGCCTTTTCAGAGGGTGGTGATCCTGAGCAGGTTACACCCCTCGTGGGTCTCACATGTGTCATCTTCAAACAGAGAAGACCATGCTGAACGCTCTACCATGCAGATCCATCACCACCTAGATGCAAAGATGGGAATGAGATGGCGTGGCCCAAGGATTGTCACATTTTGTGACCAAGAGTCCCCACCAGCACCCCTGCCTTATGGCACTATCTCAACAGACATGGAAAGGAAGGGATTATGAGCTGAGACTAACCTGAGGTACAAAGACCTGGATATCCAGATGGTGACAAATCTCATGTGCTATCTAAGCTCTGTTTTTAACCAACTATCATGTTCCCTGAAAAAGATGTAGTTCCTTATCATGATAATTTAAAAATCATGAAATGTCTTTGGGCACTTGAAGATTTTGAATATAAGACTTTGACTTTTAAACTCAGATTCTTTATGTTCAAAACGTTAAGGGGATCTGGCAGGAATATGTAAAAGACCCATATCAAACTTCTAGAGTTGAAAATAGCATGTCTAAAACTATGGTATTTTATTGCATTTAAATGGAATTAGTAGCAGATTATTGTAAAAGGAAAAAAAATGTGTGAACTTGAAGACAATAAGGGAGATTATCCAAAAGAAAAGAAGAATGCAGAGTGCATCTTGAGAATCAAGTAATCTTGAGAAATGCAGTGAACCCTCCCACAAGAGAAGGAAGAGAACAGAAAAGAAAATATTTAAGGAAATAATGGTTGAAATTCTTCCACATTTTATGAAAACCAGAAATTTGAAGATTCAAGTAGCTCAAGGAACCCAAAAACAAGAAACATGAAGAAACTATACCAAAGTACATTATAATTCAGTTGTTCAGAACTGGTAATAAAAGGAAAATCTTAGAAGCAGCAAGAGAAAAAAGACGAGTTGAATAACAAGAGCCACGATGCATCTAACCGGCGAAGGTCAAGAGCAGCGTCATGGATCATCTATCCCCTCATACCACAAGTCCTTGCTGAGCTGCTAAGACTGTCTCTAGAAGGGAATCTGGTCTGTGAGCCCCTGAAGGGCCAACACCAACTTCCACTTGTCTCTGTACCCCACT